TCTGAATCCCCTGGCTCTTTCCTTCACGCAGCCTTCACTGGCAGCCCCTCTGTTTAGTTTGTTCCCCATAGTTGGGATTAATTTGGCAATGAGTAACAGTGTTCTCACCTGGTGATTTACCTCTAAACTTACAAAAAATACAGGATTTCCTCAATATGTTACAGAATGATGTTGGTTTCTCCCTCCTCCTTCTGTCTGGAACAACAGTCTCTAAGATCTTACTTGCTCAGAGAACAAGGCAAAGAATGACATCATCACCCTGTGCTTTTCCCTAGTATTCAATTTGTCCTACTGAAACACGGGAAGAGGAGTTGTCTTAACAACAAGTGTTGCAAAGCCTTTCCCTTGCTTACACAGGAAGGTAGGAAACGATGACGAAATCCTGGGTTAGCAGGGCATAGAGCAGTGTAAGAAGTGTTTCATATACATTTAGTGTGAGATGAAGCGTGGGGAACAAGGGGAGCCATTCCAAAGGGAAAGCTGCGGCACATTGAGGGGAAAGGGCTAGGTTAAATGGCTAGAATGTGTTCCTCTTCCACATGCTTTCCCTCCGAGTGGACAACAGAAGTAAGTCAGCATTAAAACCTGAAAATCTTCGGCTGTTACAGCTGAGGACTGCATTATGTGCTGTCCTGTTCAGTAGGTAATCTTGGTAAATAGTAAATAAATGGTGAAAGACGCACTATTCAAATTCTGTGGTGAATGAACACTCGATCAAGCTCAGCTATGCAGGTCGTGCGCTCCCCTGACTATCAGAAAGGGAAGGGTTCAGAAAGAAGCAAAAGCAATGTTCAAAACTGAAGATTGCTAGGTGAAAGATGATGATCTGTATTTTGTGTTAGTAGGTTACTGTTGGTCTGCCTAATCCTTTTAGTAGAGGCAGAAGCTGAATCGATACAACAGGTTCAACCTCAGCGTGTGGCTCTCGTGTGATGGATGGGCTGGTTGTTTTTTCATAAAAAAAGCTTTGCGAGATCTGGTCAAGGTGGAGGCCCACCTACCAGTGTGCTGTGATCATTTGAGTTGAACTCTAGCCTATTTCTGAAGATTAACCGTTTCTAAGATTTTCCTTATAGGATCCCTTTAGTCTATGAGTATGTAGGGAGTGGATGCAGTCTACAGCATCCCTTGCTACAGCTCATGACAGTCATGGGACTGAAGATTGCAGTCTACCCCATCTGCAACACCTGAGAGGAGGGACCAATCCCAGGAGAACCTAGATGCAGAACAATGCACCATGCGATAGCATGGCTGAATCATAGGTCAGGAAAGACACCCTCAAAGCTAAACAGTGATTGCCTAACCCTAACACACTTGTGTGTTAGTGTAAAAAAACCCCACATCTGTAATGAACAGCAACCAAGGTAGGAGAAGGAAACCAAGGACATGGAATTTGCCTGGCTTGTCTGTGAGAATGTGGGAACTTGAATTGCCTGTTGAAATGGGAATGCAGGTCTGTCTCACCTTCTCCCTTTTCCTTCCAGCATATTCAGAAAGGTCTCCCCTTCAGCCAGGTGGTGGGTGGATAGGTATGGATCATTGCTGGACCACTTCCTGGCTTTTCAGGGCAAAAGGGAAGGGTATCCCACTTGCTGCTGACAAGTTTACCTGAATCTACTCTGCAAGACTGCAGAGCTAGCGAACCTTTGTGATGCGACACTAGACCTCATCTGAGTGGAGCTACAGTGTCCCATCAGCACTTGGGAAAGAAGAGCTGACATCTAGTCATCGTTATTTAACCTTCATCCCAGTTTACAAATATCAAAAGGACTGCTTTTATGATTAACAGTAAATTAGTCTAAGCTGATGAGTTTGTTGCTGTTAACATTAAAAACGGGGAATGTGCTCTCTTGGAAAACGTGTAGGAGCAGAAAGCTCGCTTGACTCTGCAGTGTTAGCTCGGGACAGTAGAGTGCGCTGCTCCTACAGCGGAGAGCAAGGCACCTCCCAGGCTGCTGCTGACGGGGGTCCTGGGAGCCCAGTAACCTCCGATTCCTTTCCACAAAACGTAGTCCTTCAGTAGATTCGGCTTTAAGGCTACATTTATCCAGCAATCATCACAGGCATGACTGTAGCTTCTGGGAAGCGTGCCACGTACATGCACTCATTGGCGTGCGTAACCAGCCAGCTCGTGAAGACGGAGGCTGTGCAAGCTGTGCAAACCCCGTGGAGGCTGCATGGGTGTGTGTATGCTATGGCCTGCACCGGCGGCAGGGAAGCTGCCCCCTCCGCACTGCTGGTGAACACCTGCTTGTGCTGCAGATACCACTGCAGTTACAGCACAGGCACATCCTGAGAGTGGTCAGGGCTGGTGGTCGCCTGCCTGGTGTGTCCTTGATGTCTAGGAAATAGTTGAAAATGTTTTCTGTGGGCACAGAAAATGAAACACCAGGTAACTTGTCCTTTTACTCATGTCAGAACATCCATCTTCTCTTATTTTGTAAGTTAGCCTTTTCCATACAGGGCCAGGTGAGAGGAAAATGAGGAATTACCAGGTTTCCAAGACACTTGGGTCAATGCAATGTTATAGACAAAAATCTGCAATAATGGGAAAGAAACCTGTGCCGTTGTGTTGCATGTGGAAGAGGCCCTAAGCAGCAGATTGCTTGGCTCTTTGAAGCCAGTGTTGGTACACCAGATGGTCACTTTTGCATGTTAGCAAGGAGATAGTCTGCCCTTATATTACTTTGTACATATTTTTATTTGACTTTTCAGATTTGCACTTTACATTCACATGAAAGGATTGGCAGTTACTTTATGAAATATTACAAGAAACAGCTGTAATCAGGGCTGGAATAATTTTCATGACCTGCAAGTCCATATTTCAACTGCTAGAAGAATCAAGAAGTGTTATTTTTCAGCCTTGGGGTATTTTCTGGTAAGTTTTCTTTTGTAGCCACTTCAGAGAGGCAACAGGTTACAACTACTAATCCTGTTAGCAGACCCTAGCACTTCTAGTGTTGTGGTGCTCTTCTGAGTCTCACTGTCTAGTCTTTTAGTCTTTTCACGTCAAACAAGCTAGTTGTGGTGGTCACTGAAAGTGGTAGCTTCTGTGTCTAGTGGCACTGTTTGGAAAGCAGCAGCACAGCAGAGCCTTCGGGTGCTGTTGGACATACACACACATTGGAGTGAGGAGTGAGGCTGAGCACACAAATGAATAGCTCTGGTTCTTCAAGGGCAAATGAAGCTATAGGGTTAAGCCCTAGCAGCGTGGAGGATTTGGATCCTTCAAAAGAGTTTGGAATGTGGCAGCGAAATGTGCGTTAGTATTTGATTCTAAAATTTTGGATCCCTTTTCTTTCAGACTGGGGGCAGCCCAGTTGAAAACCTGTTGAAAAAATATCTGTTTCCAAAGCTACAGACCAATTCCAGCATGCCCTGCTATACTGCTGGCATCTGCTCTGGAGCCATGCCACCTGTGTTTGGCTTGGCAGGTAGCTCTCCTTCCCCCTCTTACGGGCTCATGCTTAAGCCAGGAGACTGCAAACCCTGCCTGTTGCCTAGTTCTTGTCCCAGAATTTATGGGTCTACGGTCTTGAAGGACAGGCTATGAATCGCTTCTGCCACAAAGCATGGTGATGTCTCTAGGTGAGCATGCAGGGCTTGGTATTCTTACCAAATTCAGTTTACATGCATCATGTCAGATGTGGATCAACAATCCGCACTGGTCCAGCAAGTACGTAGCCCTGGAGACTGGCTGAAGAGTGACCTGGAAAGGACGAGAATGATACACAGTGTATTTGTGTAGTTTTTAAAGAATACATATGTGCTGCACATTAAGTGCTAATTTATTAAAATATAAACTCAAGGTAAAGTTACACAGTCCAAGCGTGCCAAAGCCAGATGTCCTAAATCCTTTAAAAACATCAGGTCAGGAGTGCTTTGCAATGGCTCTTTTTCTCCTGAACACCTACCCTTCCTCTCCCTGCTTGAGCTGTGCTGTCCTCTGCAGGGGTTGCCAGGTAGTGTGTTGGCAGGAGAGCACGCTGACACCACACAGTGCACATACACCTGAGGAGAAGAAAAAGTACTGCATGGTCTGTAACCACATCTTGCTTTGTCTTTTGTCCATCTCTTGCAGAAGTCACAGCTGATTAGACTTAGGCTGAGCACTTGCATGTGGCACCTTCTAGCTGAACCTGCCTTGAATTTCAAATTTGGTGTTAAAGAAGCCCTCGGGCAGTTTGGTAACTGAGAGGCTGAGACAAGAGAATTTAAAACCTCACGTGCTGCAGTGAGGCGATGTATCAAAGCTAGACAGAAACACAATCTAGTGCTAGATGCAGCTGTGCACTTAGGAAGCAGCACAAGCCAGAATTGCATCATGTTTTTTTTCTAGCAAGTTCACAAGTTGAACTGCGTATGAAAGGCCAAGTCAAAAAATTACGTGGCTACCTAAGCTGCCCAAGTAGGGGTACTGCCATGGCTCATGTCAGTACACATGCTGAAGTCCACTCAACTGGGTGCACTAGGAGCAAAGCACCCTCGGGTGACTGCCCTGGGGTTTTCTTTGCTCTCCTTAGACCTGTTAGAGGAGGACGGAACCTCAAAGCTGTAAGATCAAACTCACGTGATTCTGCTTCCCTGCCATTGCCCTGGCATCTGAGGAGATGCTTGGCTGGCTGGGACAGATGGAAGACAGCAGAGCTGACTTCATGTGAATGTTATGGCATACAAGTTGACTTTTCTGTTCTGGACATTTTGAGCTGAAGTGCTGTGTATCTGATCCTACAAAAAGTCAGGAACACCATATAAAAATTATATTTACATACCAAACTCTTTTGTTTACTCCAGCCAGTCTGATCTCAAGTCCCTGAAACCATATTGCAGAGCACGTTTGAGGACAGAACTAAATTAAAGCTGAGCACCATTCAGGCTACTTGGGTTGAATGCTGGCTGGGTCTTAAGTCCACAAAGTGCTTAAACTGGCTATTTTTAAAATGGTCTGAAGTTCAGAGCACGGTGTCCATGAAGGAGGTGAGCCTTTCACTTGATCTTACCTGCTCCAGTTGATGTGCCGGGGTCGTTACTGCTAGCCTTTTGAAATGAGAAGGGTTTCTCACCCTGGGGCTAACTGCCACTGGACAGAACTGTGCAGCATATTCACTGCCATTAATCTCAATCCTGTTTGAGAGAGTGGATTGACAGATCAGAAGGAAATTAGGGCTTTGCTGATGAGTGCTTTGGTCATTCAATAACTTCTTGCCTGTCTACAGTGATGTTCCATCTTGGGGTGCTGTTGAAGTCTAGAGACCTGGTTACCCAGCAGTTTTCCAGGTATAACTCTGTGTCAGGGCTCTTGTCTTTCAGCTCCACCTCGAGAAACATAGGCTCCACAGGTTGCTTGAGTATTGCCACGTTGGGCTCGTAGAATTCCATGAAAGTTTCGTCTCAAGAAAGCATCAAGGGATTTCACTGTTTAATTTTATTTAAAACATGCTTGGTAATTTTCTGGATTTCTTAGGAGGAGACTTACCTTTGGACACTCTTGAAACTACATTCAGGGCTTGTCTTACCCTTCTGTGTACTGCAGAAAAGGAAATGTTAGTAGGGTTCTTTAGTAGAAAGCAGGGCATAGGAACTTAAAACTGAGAAAGTCACAGAAGTTTAAAAATGAAGGAAGAGAGTTGCCTACCTGCAATATTTGATCTTGGTACCATTGTACCAGAGCCAAAGGGAGGTGATGTGGATGGATCACTAGCGAAGGCACCTAGCACTAGGGTCTCTTTTGCTCGATAGTAGCACAAGACTGTTAGTCTATAATAGGAGAAGGAGTAATTTTTGTGTTCACTTTTTCTTTCCAGCAGCTGTACCAAAGTGAGCAGTGTCAGTGAGCGGTAGCTCCTACCTGTAGTCTGGATCTCTTGTAATTGTTGGTATGCTCTGTTCTGGGAGAGTTTCTTTCTCATAAGAGATTTCATTTTCATAAATAATGTGATCACCTTCAAACTGTACGTATGGGAAGCATGTTAAAAACTCTGTCTTCTCTGGAGCTGGGGCAGGGGAACAAAGAGAAAATGCAGGAGAGACAGAGACTTCCAGCAAATGTATCTGCTCCAGCCATGGGCTTACCCTTACTGAAGTGCCACAGGTAGCGACATGGAACTTGAAGAAGGCATGTCCTTCATTATGCTCTCTAGGCTTGCAAGAGCTGTCCCTGAGCTTGGTTTTACTCATATCAATGGCAGGAACTGTCTTCATTTGAGCAGATATCATTATGGTACCGTCTGGGTGGCATACTGAGAAAATTGGAAAGTTGGTTATAAACTCAGTGAAAGAATCATAGATCATTTTATTGATCGATCAGTGATATAACTTACCTATAAACTCTGAAGAATTAAAACTGCATCTAACAGAGAACATCTGTAAGGTCTCCATAGTTCTCACTTTCCTTAGAGCAACATCAAACCTTGCTTTAATTTTCTGAAAGGACACTTCCTGTGAAGGAGGTGATGGAAGAGATCTCCTGTTAAGGCACGTGATCCATATGTACAAGGGTCTGCTCTTTAGCTTGTGCCACTCGAACACTGAGAAGTCACAAGAGTTAAGTCACTGTGAAGACTCAAGCCTGATGCAACATGGGGGCAGAAGTTTTCTTGTATGAAATAATTGGTCACTGTCACAGAGATAAATTTTGGCTGATTATTATAGAATGGTGCAGATGCTTATTACAGCACCAGTTTTCCCCTGCCATTTAACATTTCTACAGAATATTCCTTTAAAAGAGCTTCTTTCATAAAAGCTATATTGAAATATTGTTTCTGGCTCAGTGCAGATGGGACATTTGCCTCATCTTACTAAAAATACTGAGGAGTTTGTTTTTGAAGACTCAGTGCATATCGTTTAGAGACAACTTAGTACTGCAGATTACATAATGCATGGCACTACCAGAAGGGTCCATGTCTGATAGCTCTTGTCCTAATTGCACTGGCTTAGAGTCCTTCCCTTTGGAGGTTTTCCGATACATGGAATACAACAGCGCCATAAACTGTGACTGCAGGACTGTGGCTGTATAAGCGAACAGCCCTACAAGGCATTGCTGTATGGTTTGTGTACCTCATAGATAAGTCCTGCAGCAAACAGAGGTATTTGCAAGATCAGGTGTGTAGAATTGGTGGCTGCGAGATAGCCGTTGGTAAGTGCAACGTGCCGGTTCAGGAGCTTGTTACCAAGATACAGGTTCCAGTACTGGTGCAAGCCAAAAGTAGGGATGGCTAGATACATGTTTTCTTCATCACAGTAACCAACTGCTTCTGGTAGTTCTGTGGGAAGAAGGAGGGATAAAGAGTTAGCAATGAAGATAGGTCTGAGCGATGATGTTTGGCCCAGTCAGGGAATTTTGTCATGGGCAAAGTTTGTACCAGCACTGCAGCAGCACTGTTATGTGCATGCTGGCATCATCTGCTGGGTTTTGGCTGTGCTGTGGATGTAGCAGCTCACTATCGGTGGGATCAGGAATCCTCATGCTTTAGTGGTGGCCTGCCGGATTGCTTCTGGGACTACTCCCTTGTTGCAGTAAGGCAAGCTGAACTATGTATGTAAATATATTTTTCTTGGTCACCCTTCTTTGGGTTGAACCCAGAGCTATTTCAAACATAAAATAGGACGGTGAGGAGACTGTCACCTTCATGGCATCCAGAACCTAAGAAGTTTGAGAAAATACCAGTCAGACCTCCCAACTATTTCAATAACCTGCTTAAGTACATCTCTTAGTGTCTCCTTACAGAAATGCTGTCTTTGGAGTTCACAGCAATTTATTTGAGTCAGTTGAGTTCTGCCCTGGAGACAGATGCAGAATTGCATTTGAGGACAAACTGAAACTCGTAGCAATGTCTGAAAGCTTTGCCAGTAGGTATATGTTCAAGTTATGAGGCATCTTGTTCACTGAGTTTGCAAGCCAACTTCTTCTACACACTAGTTTTTATTGCTCTCAGTGTCTCGAGGGCGGACTGTCTTGCCAGTATGCAGAAGAGCTGCCATCAGAAAAGCAGCAAATGGCTATGTTACCAGTGATGAGCTATTAAAGGGTGGGGTTTTCCCAAAAGCTCTCATCCTCAGTCTAATGGGGTTTTCACTGAATTCAATGAAAATCTGATCCATGCTGTTGATGCAAACTGGTTAATATCAGGGGAAAGCTTACCGATATCAGCAATCACACACTCCACCTCTGCCGAGTGATAATAGAGTGTCATCTCCGGACCCACACTTAGAGTGTAATTAATGAGGAGGGTATATTTTGTTTCATTTCTGTTCACATACTGAAAGAGAGAAGTGCAATGCTGCAGTAGCAATGGCTTCCAGCACAGACAGGCATGTATATCCTGAGCAGTACTAAATAATTATTCCAACACGCTCCTCTCCTCTGCAAATAGCTCAGTCTCTAAAAACATCGCTTCAGTTGGCCTAAAACTATTCAGAAATCTGGACTGGATTCAACAGCTCTTTCAGCCAAACATAAATGTGGAGAATGTAGTGCCTGTTCAGAAAATGGAGGCAGAAGTGAACGCAGTGGTGTTTCCTCTGTAGCCCACTGGTGAAAGAGCTCGTAGAGGGAGAGCTGTGTCCAAATCCTTATTTTTCTTTACTCAGAGTGTGGACTGAACCCAGGAGAGTAAATAATTGGTAAAACAGAAAGTGTGAGTAGATGCTGTAAGAGATCCCTCATCCCTCTCACTACCCTCATTTACCTCACTAAAAGTGCTCCCAAAGCAAAACCTGCTGCTCAAGCTGAAAGAAATACTTCTGAAATCTTTTAGCTTCCTTTGATCCTTAATGCAATTTAACTGTAGTTTGAATGCAGCCTGAAAGCTATTTGCGCAAATCCTGATCCTGTGTGTTCACAGTGTTGTTCCTTGTAACAGAAAATAGCATCACGGGATTTGGTTGAAACAGTGGTAGAGGGCTTCCTCCCACTGAAATGAGAGGCTGAATTCCCCTTGTGAGTTTATACTTTTTACAAATATTTAGATTACAAATGGTCTGAAGCTTAACAAAATTACATTTAGAATACCCTGAGCCTGCCTTCACATGCTCGCATGGTGCACGGCCTATGCCAGTGGTCAAATGGCTCTACATAAACAGTAGGTTCAGGAATTACTAGATGTTTGTAACTGGTGTTTGCAGGACTGCAATAATTAATTATTTTATTTCCAAGGTACTTCTGTACCAAGAAACAGCACTTAATAGAAATTTGAGAAGCTTCTTCCTGCTGGGCATGCGCTCAGATATTTGTTGTGCTGACAGACACTAGAGGAAGTCATATCTCATACCATCTAATTACACTTGATGCTGCGTTTCTCCCAGAGACCTACAGAGAGCTAGATGGGGACAGACAAGCCTCTAATCTTAATTCAGATGGGCTCGGACACATTGACACTGTTATGATCAAGTAACAGTTGTTGATTAACAAAAGCCAGACTATATTCTGAAAACGGACTGCCCTACCTCCCTCCACTCAGCTGCTGAAGTGACCTGCTGTATCTTACCTCTTTTAGAACATATGGATCATCAAAAGAGACTTCCAGGATAAATCCTTTAGTTCTATTAGAAAAGGGAGTTTCATAAATCTTGAACCCTTGGTGCTGTGCTTCCCTCAGGGTAAATGGCACATTTCCTATTGCGATTGCCACCAGGGAGACATCGGGAAGAAAGTGTCCAAATGCAACATTAAATAGCCTTTCGTCTGGCAGAGTATCTGTAGGGAGAGAACATCGAATTACTGCTGATGAGGATCAAGTAATGAAGACGGTTGGGGCGGCCTCCCATTCAAGTTCCAGGAAACTTAGCCAACAGTCATCTCTTTAATGGCTCTGATTAATGAGTGTTTGTGTTCTAGTCAGATCTGAAATACTCTGAGTACATGAGAATTGCTTCAAGCTGCAGGAGATTAACAACAAATACATACAATTTTATAGAAAGTGGGTTCAGTAACTTTCTAGAGGTGCACTTTGATCTGCAGTGAGATGTGTAGTGACTTTCCTATAAAGAAATCTAGAGTCTAGTTCAGCCGCATAAAATATGGAGAAACTCTCATAATGTATGGAAAGAAGTTCCTTTTCCTTTCTTTATCAGTTATCCAGACAGCTCCAAAGGGGTTCAGTGTCTTAATGCATTGGAAAATACCATAAAAAAATTACTGCACCACTGGATGGCACAACAAGTTCTGTATGCTCCCAAGATAACAAATGCAGTCAGTCTGGAGGAGAAAATGCCATCAATGAAAGGCTGTCCTCAGACAGGTATTCTCCCCAGTGTGATTCACTGCACACCACATCTTTATTCTAGGGTTCCACTGCTCCCTGGAAAAATCTGGTTTTTAGTGTGAAAGAAATGTTTATGTTCTTATCAGCAACTTAAAATTTTCATCTCATCCCTTAATGACGTCTGATAAATGGTACCTCCATTAACACTAAATGTTTGGGGTTTTTTATAATACCTTGAATCACTTTGGCTAGCAAATTGGAAGTGGGAGTAGTGAACATTTTGGTGAATGTAGGTGTGTGGCAGAGGTCGAATAGAATAATGTATAGCTCAGCAAGAGCAAAAGAGTGGTAAAAGCCAGTAAGAGGAATGACTTACTGTTCATAACAGTTGGTATTTGTGGCATGAAAGGTGTAGTGATGGATTTGATGACTGTATACTTTGTGGTTTGCCAATCTGCATCTGTCCACGTGTGCTCCAAAAACAAGTCAATACTGTAAATGACTCCATATACACCACCAGATATGGAGCTCTAGGAGTAAAAATTTGTGTTTAAGTCTTAATTCACAATAGCTAAATAGAAGAATGACAGAATATGGTTAAAATTGTTACATTACAAAGAGAATATGGTATTCTAGTACAGTTTGGGATGGATTTTGATAGGGGAGCTTGTTTGTTTGTTTGTTTCTTTGCTTGGCCCATTTGTCTGGTCCATGTTTGGCTCAGGTACTGCTGAGATTCTCAATAAGGAAGTACCAAGTTTGCAGCGGGGGTGTCCTTATTGTTTACTAAGCAACCATATTTGCATTTATATTTTTACAATCCCTGTATTACCAGTCATGTTTCTCATTCCGTTCTAGGTCACTCTGAAAGTTTGTTGGTGCTTCCAACATTTCTTCAGACCAAGCCTGTCTGGTGTCTACACATGGTGATCAAAGTGTCCGCTGGTGATACATACAAATGTGAACTTCTGAAGGGGGTAAGTCAAAATCACAGCAGTGTCATCTTCACAAATGGAACTGGTAAAAAGCCTTGTGATAATATTGCCAGCTTCTTTCTAAGTGCTCAGGCTTGAATGAGCAACCAGACCTAGTGAGAGATGTTCCTGCCTATGCCAGGGGGGTTGGACTAGACGATCTTTAAAGGTGCCTTCCAACCCAAGCCATTCTATTCTGTTCTATTTAACATTTCTTTTGACACTGCCTCTGCACCTGTAACTTACAGACTGATAAGGAATATATCATGTCCAAAGCAGCTGCACCTAAACTACATGCTGGGGACCTGTCTCATGCTAATTCATCCTGTCTGTATGGGAACTATCTGGGAAACTAACTTTGCCCAGTTAGTTTCCCAGATTGGCCCAGGCCAGAAGCTTACCAGGCCTAGTTTCATAATGTAACAACAGAGACAATTGAACTCCAGTGCTGAGGAATCCCTTCACTCTTAATTTACTAGTATAGTTCATAAACAAAAGACAGTCTTTTGTTTCTATCATGTTTTGTAATCATAAATACTTAGTGTCTGCTCCTTCTGATTCAGAGGAGTATCTAGGTCTTCAAATATTTCTTGTATTTAAGAATTTTAAGCAGCAGCCAATCACTATTTGGAATTATCATGATTTAGAAACATCTTCCTTTGAGTGAGGGCCCTCAAATGCGTTTGTACTAACCTTTAGCTTGCCTCCTTCCGCTCCAATAGGGATAGTTATTCTGATGAGTGTCTCGTTGTGCTCCAGTAAATAGTTCTTCTCCTCTGGGTTTACTATGACTTGACCATTGACTCCCATTAAAATGTTTTTAGACAGAAAGGTGGATTCTCGAACCACTAATGTGGGGATAACACTTGGCACAGTCCATGTTAGTGTAGTGTCAGTGAAACTGATGCCATCTGTTGAGTTAGAAAGTCCCAGAAGTTGGGGAAGTTACCAGTCAGTCTTCATTCTGCAACAGCTGTCTTTCCCTGACTGCTTTCCACCAGGGTACCTTTACAACTTTCACTGACACTTTCACCTTGTAGGATACTAGCCAACCAGTGGCTATCTTGTCACAGAAACTGACGCTCAAAGTAGACTGGAAGCTGAATCCCCAGTTTCAGGTGACTAATTCATTTATTCAGAAGAACGGACAGTCAAGCTCCCAGATGCCTACTCTGTTGTCCTTCTGGTCCCAGGAATTTTGCCTTGTTGGCAAAAGGAATAGGGCACAGAGCCACTTGTTTGGACCTTCTTTTGGTTTCAAGATCATGACAACTTAAAACCTCCTGCCTCCTCATCAGTTGTTCACATTAATACTGTTCTGTGAGAGACAGAAGGTGCAGCCACCACTGTTCTGCAAAAAGCCAGGCTAGTTCTGCCTCTCCAGAAGAAATGTGAATCTCAAGGATGCAGAGCTGCATCCCCCACGTGGAGTTATTTAACAGGGGAGGTTCCCTGGCCCTTCTG